ATTTTTTGAAAATGTATTTTTGGTCAAAAAATATTCAAGGGTATTAATTCACAAAATACACAATTTCAAATTGTTTTATGGTTTGAATTTACCTGGAGATATTTTTTCACAAGATATTTTATTAAGAAAAATTTATATGAAAACTATTAGTGACTTATATGATTACTCTTTGATTGTGTTCAAGAGACAGAAATGTATATTTATAAAAGCAGCAAAATTTGTAGTTTAATGAAAGAAAAAACAAATGGGATACCTGCAGATTCCAACACTGATCACTATTGGTTTTATTGCCCAAGAAAATTCTGGGTCTAGCGATTGTTTGCTCTGAAAGCAAGACAATATACCTGGTACAAACAAAATGAACAATGAAATTGAAAGAGACATTTTGTGTTCTGTTTTGTATCCAATATTCAAAGGTGTGGATCACATATGCTACAGGGAAACAGATATATATCAGAATACAAAGCTGCACAACACAGGATCAAACAATATGCAAATATTTTTCTAGGAAAAAGTGAAACAGAAAGGAAGAAGATACGTTTGTAACACATTTTCATAAAGATTACGATATTAATTCAACAGTAGCTCTAACAGTACACCACGCAGACCTTGTCAATTTCATATGTAATGTTAATCTATTCTGTAATTAACTCGTAATAACCTTTGAGGCTTGTGCGCAGAATTATAGACATCGTGATATAAAGACCATATTGCACAAATCAAAAGTATACAATTTATCACAAATAACTGCAAGTAACTAAATATGGTTAAAAAAACTGAACATCAGAGACCATATGGTTTTAATAACAGCCTAAGCTAGTGATAGGGCATCTTTGTCTGTTATTTTCTGTCAGATGCAGTCAGCTGTGACAATATAATGAAGCGAAGCGGACACTCAATATGTACCCTTCCAAGGGTTGTAATGAGTATATTTGTGGAGTTTGATATTTTTATTTTTTGTTTTGCAAGGTTTTGTTCGCGACAGGTGGCACATTAGGTGTTTCAGTAAGTGATATTTGGGAGAGAAAATGCGTGGAACTTCAATGTCTATTTGCTGTTCATTGTATGCACATGTAACTGTATTTGTTTGGTTAGGGAACACAACTGTTTTGTAAAAAAAATCTTTACATATTTATCTCCATCGCCAACTTTGTCCCATTTCCCCTTTCGCTTTTCATCACAGTTTGTCCCCTAGCCAAACATTTATCTTCTTTTCCCCATGCACCTTTATCATTTGTTTCTTACTCAAAACATATTACAATTTTCCCTCCTCCATTTCCTTCACCATAACTTCTACCATTAACCCCTATACTTCTTCACAAATTATCCCAGCGTGTCCCCTACCCTTACTTCACCAATTTGTCCCCTAATCCCTACTTCATCACAGTTGTCCTCAACCCCTTACTTCATCATGATCTGTCCCCTTTCCCCTACTTCATAATTTGACCTCCAATCCATAATTTCACATCTGATCTCCATGCATCATCACAATTTGTCCTTTATCCCCTAACATCATCACAATTTGTCCTTTATCCCCTAACATCACAATTTGTCCTTTATCCCCTAATATTATCACAATTTGTCCTTTATCCCCTAACATCATCACAATTTGTCCTTTATCCCCTAACATCACAATTTGTCCTTTATCCCCCAACATTATCACAATTAGTCCTTTATCCCCTAACATCATCACAATTTGTCCTTTATCCCCTAACATCATCACAATTTGTCCTTTATCCCCTAACATCATCACAATTTGTCCTTTATCCCCTAACACATCATCACAATTTGTCCTTTATCCCTAACATCATCACAATTTGTCCTTTATCCCCTAACATCATCACAATTTTTCCTTTATCCCCTAAAACATCATCACAATTTGTCCTTTATCCCCTAATATCATCACAATTTGTCCTTTATCCCTTAACATCATCACAAATTGTCCTTTATCCCCTAACATCATCACAATTTGTCCTTTATCCCCTAACATTATCACAATTTGTCCTTTATCCCCTAATATCATCACAATTTGTCCTTTATCCCCTAACATCATCACAAATTGTCCTTTATCCCCTAACATTATCACAATTTCTCCTCTATCCCCATCTTCATCAAAACTTGTCCCCCATTCCGCTTAATCATCACAAATTGCCCTCAACTTCTTACTTCATCATAATCCGGCCCCTTTCCCCCTACTTCATAATTTGACCTTTAATCCACAATTTGTCCTTTATCCCCTACTTCATCACAATTTCTCCCCCTACCCCCTACTTCATCACAATTTCTCCCCCTACTTCATCACAATTT